TATAGTGGGTACTCACATCCCTAGACACTCCTCCCCAAAGCAACTACAGCCATCCCCTCAGTGGCAACCACCACAATGGCAGCGCCCTTTGGTGCCAGTACCCTCCAGCTGGCTCTACTGGGATCCGTGGGCATTGAATAGGGCACAGCAGCAACGTCCGCCTCAGCCGCTGCCCTCCTGCACCACACAAGCTCTGTCGGTGCAGTCTCTGGACGCGTCAGTTGTGCAGGAAGAAGATGACCCAGATATCACTGATGAAGACATTTCTGCTACTTCTCTACCTGCCACCCACATCTCATCCTCTTTGCCTGACAATACTGTAATGCCTTCTCCCCTACATCAGGGGATGACTTCAAGTCATTTCAAGAGCTCTACAAGAGGGTGGCAGATGTGTTGGAGAGCTCCGTGGTGAACCTGCTGGCGACCCAGCACAAACTAACCAATATACTTCATGCCTTTCCCTTGATGAAACTGACACTGCCAATAAATCCAGCCCTGATGGACCCAGCCAAATCCATCTGGCAGACACCTGCTATCATTCCACCAGTCTGTAAAAGACCAGACAGAAATTATTACGTAATATCACAAGGGGCTGATTTCTGTTATCTCATCCCTCCCCACACTCTCTTGTGATAGAATCAATAAACCAAAGGGGAAAACAAGGTGCTGCCCGGACTACTCTCTCTGACAAGGAATTGAAGCGTTTAGAGCTGATGGGCATGAAAGCTTATTCATCAGCATCATTGCAATTACACATTGCTAATTACACTGTCCTCCTAGCCAAATACACCACATATTTGAGCAGATGGCACGTTTTATTGAAAGTCTTCCAGACAATAAGAGGGAATAATTGAGGGCAAACATAAATGAAGATGCCCTCATCTCCTACATGGTGTTACAAGCAACCATGGTCTCTTCAGACACAGCAGCTCGATCTGTTGTCATGGTCATGGTAATGAGACGTGCATCCTGGCTTCACTAATTTCGCTTCCCAAGGGAGGTGCTGTGGAAGTCCTGCCTTTTGAGGGTTCAAAGTTATTTGCCAACTCTGTGGATGCGTCACTGCACATCCTTAAAGATTCCTCTTCCACTTTAAAGACTCTGGGAATCCATGTATGTGCAACTAAGAGGAAGTAGGGTAATTTTTTTACACAAAGATAAAGCCCCCTCCATTTAACCAATTGCAGAAACAATATGAGGCCTGACGAAGACCGCACCAGACTAGACACAGGAAGAGCGCCAACCAGCCCTCAACCTCCCAGCCTTCAACATCCAGGCAAACGTTTTGAAGGTCTGGTTGAGGGTATGATAACCCACATATCTCTAAGGCACCTGGACAGCCTACCTACATTCGATAATCGTGTCATACTTCTACCTGAATTGGAGATCCATCACCACGGACAGATGGATGTTGGACATTGTCAAGACTTGTTATTGTTTCCCCTTTTTGTTTATTCCTCCAACTCAGTCTTCCTTACCATCCCTCTTCAGGGACCCATCTCATAAGACCATCCTCAACCAGGAACTCAACCATCTGCTCCAACTGAGAGCAACAGAACCCGTGCCCCAACATCACATGGGAAAGGGATTCTACTCCCACTATTTCCTTACAACAAAAAAGTGGGAGGATGGAGACTGATTCTCAATTTAAGAAAGCTCATCCGCTACATACATCCACCACGTTTCAAAATGGTCACACTGTCCACAATAATTGCTTCCCTAGAGAAAGGAGATTGGTTATCAACCCTCAGCCTGTAAGATGTGTACTTCCACATGTCAATTCATCTAGCACACAGAAAATACCTTCATTTTGTGGTGCACAACAAATGCTTTCATTACAAGGTGCTCCCCTTTGGACTCTCCACAACATCATGGGTGTTTTCCAAAGTGCTCGTCGTTGTGGCAGCTTACCTCTGCAGATGGGGAGACAGCATTTTTCTATATCTTGACAACTGCCTATTAAAAGCACAGACTTATGAAGAGACAGAAAAAGCAGTTAGCCTTACCATGTCAATGTTTAGAACCTAGGTAAATCTTCAGAAATGCAAACACAAAAATTGGAGTTCATTGGCGTTTACCTGGACTGCACAGTAGCGATATACTCACTCCCACAACAAAGGTTCCAGACAGTCATGGAACTGATGGGAACAGCATAAAACAGTCCTCAGGTCACTGCAAAGTCATGCCTTCAATTATTGGGTCACATGGCAGCAACCACCTTTGTTGTGCAACATGGTAGAGTATACATGAGACTGCTGCAGTTATGGCTAAGTATAGTTTGCAAAACATATTTCCACAGCATCTATAAAAGCATCACAGTTCCTGTCAAAGTGAAACAGTCATTAGCCTGGTAGACAAATCCACGAAGTGTGTGCAAAGTGATTCTTTTCCACACAGAACCACCATCCATAACCCCTATGACAGATGCATCTCTTTTGACGTAGGGTGTACATATCAGCCACCAGGTGGTGCAAAATCAGTGATCTACAGAGAAGTCCAGGTTGCACATAAACATGTTGGAACTCAGAGCAGTAAGCAATTCTTGTCACCATTTTTTACATCTAATTTGCATAGGATAGTACAGATTTTTATGGACAATCTGACAACAGTGTACTGCGTAAATCACCAGGGTGGAACCGGATATTACCGCCTCTGCATGGAAGTGGTCCAGTTATGGAAATGGTGTATCCCACACCTCTGGGCCACCTACTTGCCAGGCAAGGACAGTACTATGGCAGATGACCACAGCAGACATTTCAACTTGAATCCTGAATGCGAGATTGATACAAATCTCCTTTTACAAGTATTCAATCATTGGGGATTGCCAATGATGGACTTGTTTGCAACCAGTGCCAACAGGAAGCATCCACAGTACTGTTCTTGTGTGGGCATTGGAACATACTCTATTGGAGATGCGTTCACAGTAATATGGAGCATGCCACACTCACATGCTTTCCCACCAATCCCACTTCTCCATCAGGTAATCTTCAAGATAAAACAAGACAAGGCCACAGTAATATTAATTGTGCCCTGCTGGCCTAGGCAGATGTGGTATGCTTTCCTGGTGCGCATGGCGCTTTCTGATGCTTCCACCTCTTCTAACTCAGAACAGCAGTTACATACAGCATCCTCACATCCAGACTCTCCATCTGCAAGTATGGTATCTGACTGGCTCACCTCAATAGAAGCGACCTGTTCTGGACCTGTACAAGAAATTCTCCTGAATAGTCATAGGTCGATTACTAGAAAATCATACCTGCAAAAATGGCATAGGTGCTCTTTGTGGTGTCATCAGAAATAAACAGCTCCCACATCTGCCTCGCTCCCTCTGGTGTTCGAGTACCTGTTATCCTTCAAAAGCTGGAGGTTCTACTTTTAGCTCCCTGAAGGCTTACCTGGCTGTCATAACCCTTTTTATCTCCCAAAAGACGACATCAGTTCTTGAGAGGAATTCAAAGTACTTATCCACCCACAAAGAAACCAGCTTAGGACCTCAACCTAGTACTTAGGTAGCTAACTTGCAAACCCTTCAAGCCCTTAGCTACCTGTTCAATGCTATGCCAGTCTATTAAAGTGGCCTTCTTGATTGCCAACACTTCCATGAGGAAAGTAGGGAAATTGGGGGTTTTTATGGTGGATCCACTCTTTATGGTATTTCATAAGGACGAAATCATTCTCCGCCCACACCCCAAATTTTTCCCAAAAGTCCTGACTCCCTTCTGTTGTAACAAACCCATTTAATTACTTGTCTTTCTTCCCGAAACCCCACACAGAAAGGCTGTGTTGCATACACTGGACATCCGCAAAGTGATCATGTTTTATTTGGACACAACTGGACAGATACTCAAATCACCAAGATTATTTGTATCAGCTATTGAAAGATCCAAGGGCATGCCAATTTCCAAACAGAGTCTGTCCAGATGGATCGTGGACTGTATAAGACTGGCTCACACTAACTTAGGGCGAGACCCTCCACGATAGCTATGTGCTCATTCCATGAGGGCAATGGTGACTTCTACAGCATACCTGAACAACATACCTCTGATGGAGATTTGTAGAGCTTCCAGCTGGTCCTCCGCTCATATGTTTACCAAGCACTATGCACTTGAAACTTACCTGTCACAGGGCACTTACTTTGGCCAGATACTAGCTGCTGTTCATAATAGCGATCAATTGAAGCTTCCTCCTCTGGCTACTGCTGCATAGTCCTCTAAGATGGAGCACCCATGAGAACTCTCCTCAAAGAAGAAGAGAGTAACTCACCTTGTTCAGTAACTGAGCTTCTTTGAAATGGTTGTCCCTGAAAGTGCTTTATCACCTGCCCTTCCTCCCCTCTGCTTTGGAACCACCTATTTCTGGGGCAGAGAAAGATCCAAAGGGATGGTTGACTGCGTATGCAGAGCAGCTGCACTGGTGAATGCCAGCTGTCTTGTGTGCACTGCCTAATGAGGACCACTGCTGCCTAAATTCTCCAACTAGGGGCACAACGGTGTTCCAGACACGTAAGGTGGAGCACTAACTGGGACAACCATCTCGAAGAACCTCAGTTACTGTACCAGCTGAGTAACCCTCTCTTGTTCATGGAACTGTGCCAGTTTACAGTGCCTCAGGATCAATATTTTTACAGCCTTGTGATAAGGGAACCCTCTTTGTTTGAATGTTTGAGTCAAAGTTCCATTGTTATAGGACTTTGATCTTTGTTGTATTTTAATATCTATTCAATAGTCATAGGTAAAAATTGCTTATTTGATTTTAACTTACATATAAGCTAAATATTAGGCATTGAAATATATCTGTAGTTATTTGAAGTTAAAAAGCTCTTTTCTAAAGTAATGATCATTATACAATGACCTATAAAACTTCCCATTTGAATGCATTTTTATAGTTTCATTCTTTTGAGTACATTTGATTAAACTAGTTAAGGCAGTTACAATAAAAATATTGTTATACATTTACAGGATGTAGTTGGTATAATGCCATCTTTAATGTTTTTGTTGCAGGTATATGATGATGATTGATGGCAAGAATGAAGTTTATATGATTGATAGAGATAACTCAGTGTTTCATGTATCTAACCTGGAGTTTCCATTTCGTAAAGATCTTCGCACACATTTAACAAACACTCTGCTGGATGGGGTAAGGTGCATAATGTTTATATGTACTATAATCATTATAATGATATTGTCCTGTGTAACTAAAACAGATTTGTAGTCTGGGGTTAGTGGATATCAGGATTACAGGAATAATGTTTTCAGTATTTAGAAGAGGGTGATGATCACTCTGGACCCTATCTCTGCCCTCAAGTGTATCTACCTGTCCCCCTAGCTTAGTGTCATCTGCAGACTTGCTGAGGGTGCAATCCACCCCCTCATCCAGGTCATCAATAAAGATATTGAACAAACCCGGTCCTAGAACTGAACCTTGGGGCACTCTGCTAGAAACCGACCGCCATCCTGACATCGAGCCGTTGATCACTACCTGCTGGGCCCGGCCTTCTAGCCATCTTTCTAGCCATCTTACCGTCCATTTATCCAATCCACATTCCCTTAGCTTGCTGGCAAGAATATTGTGGGAGACCGTATCAAAAGCCTGCTAAAGTCAAGGTATATCACATCCACTGACTTTCCCTCGTCCACAGAGCCAGTTACCTCATCATAGAAGCTAATCAGATTGGTCAGGCACGACTTTCCCTTTGTGAATCCATGCTGACTATTCCTAATCACTTTTCTCTCTTCCAAGTGCCTCAAAATGGATTCCTTAAGGATCCCTTCCATGATTTTTCCAGGAACCGAGGTAAGACTGACTGGCCTATAGTTCCCTGGATCGTCCTTCTTCCCTTTTTTGAAGATGGGCACTACATTTGCCTTTTTCCAATCATCCGGGATTTCTTCCTATCTCCACGACTTTTCAAAGATAATGGCCAAAGGCTCCTCAATGACATTTGCCAACTCCCTTAGTACTCTTGGATGCATTAAGTCCGGACCCATGGATTTGTGTACGTTTAGTTTTTCTAAATAGTTCCTAACCTGGTCTTTACCCACCAGGGCTGTCCATCTTCATCCCATCTTGCGTCACTTAGCGCCTTAGCCCAGGAGCCCACGTTGTCCGTGAATACAGAGGCAAAGAAAGCATTGAGTGCTTCATCTTTCCACACATCATCTGTCACTAGGTTACCTCCTTCATCCAGTAGGGACCGCACACCCTCTCTGATCACCTTCTTGTTAACATGCCTGTAGAAACCTTTCTTGTTATCCTTCACATCCTTAGCCAGTCGCAATTCCATTTGCGCTTTTGCCTTCCTGATAACCCCCTGGCATTCTCGAGCTATACATTTAAACCCCTCCCTGGTCATTTGTCCAAGTTTCCACTTTTTGTAAGCTTCCTTTTTGTGCTTAAGTTCACCAAGGATTTCCCCTATAAGCCAATCCAGTCTCCTATCGTGTAATGAACATGTTTTGAAAGGGGGCTTTTCTTATTTGTCCGTACCTTCATTTTGGTGATTTTAATTATTGCGGCTTATTTCCATCCTGTATATTAAAACTTATCTATTTATCTCTGACTAAAATATTGTTAAGCTACGAGGCCCATTAAGTTCATATAAATTTTCAGCACTTGTTGAAGTTTTTAAATGGATAGATTATCTGAAATTTGAATTTATAAAATACCTGTATAGTTGTTTAGTAATTCAACCCAGCCTTGCTAGGGCTGTTGAGAGAGATGAGGAGAGAACAACTCCTTTCTTCACATCTTTTTGGGGAGAAAATGGCTGCATTGACAGGTCTTGGTAGGATTGGAATCTGTCCAAGGGGAGGGGAATAATATTGACACCACTGGTATGGTAATTAGGTAAGAGAAACCTCCTTGATGGGTCTGCTCTTACAGTTTTAAGCTGACTAAAGGCAGCGGGTCCTGTTTGTTGCCTTAAGAAGAGGACTCTCCTGTTGGTGCCATTCCCATTTCCTCTGCCTCCTGGAGCTCGTGCTCCCTCCTTGTGGTCTTTACCACCCCTTCAATTTGCCACATTTAGGAATCATTCTCTTCCCTCTCCTGAATGAGCTATTACGTTGAAAGAAAGTCACACACCAAACTGTCATCTTGAGGGAGGGGGTTGTTTCAAGAAGCTTTATGCTCTTTGAGCAGCAATGGGAAGAAGAGAAGTAGGTAACTAACTACAGAGAAAAAGCTGCTTCACGCCTTGCAGCAGGAGAAGGCAGGGAGCACCAGGAAAACAGCAGTATACAGTTGAGGAGCTCTAGGACCACAAGCTGTTGCAGGAGGGTTGTATACCTTGTAAAGGTGGGAACTGCTGCAGCCAAGCAATCTAAATCAATGGAGGTAAGAGGGACCACTGATGGGCAATACTATGGTTCTTTCAGTATTTCCACTCTTTTCCCTAGAACCTTAAAAGTGATAAAGCTCTCACAGCGTTCACAAACTACAACCAGTCTTCGTCTCCAATCACTGAACCATAACTCACATAGTGATTATGGTTGCCATTTTTCTGAAGTCTGTGCAGCTCTTCTATAGCCACTCAGGAAGGTTATGTAATGTCAGCATAATTCAGTTTTTTGGTGTCATGCTGAGTAACTTTTGAAGGGCATTATTCTCACAAGGGGTTGGATTGATGGGGCAATGATGGATCTAGCAAGGGTTGATTTATTGCACCTAGTATAGATGTGATCAATTGATTGCTGATTGCTCTCCCGTTGAGTCCAGTACTCCACCAGAGTGAGGGGAGTCAATGGGAGAGTTTTTCTTTTAATCCACTGTGATATGAGCCTTGTGGTAAGTAAATCTAAGCTGTTAATTTAGACAGACTTCTAAAGTAACTCTATGTATAGTTGAGATCGACTGCCGGAAGACACACAGCTGAGTGGGGGAACAGAAGTGATTATATTATATTCTACATTCCTTACTTTCACCCATTCTCTTTTCTCTCTGGTCTTATTCAGAGATAGTAAGTCCAAACTCAGAATGTGCCACAGTTACCTCTCCTTGGGGATCTTGCAGTTGGGTTTGCATCAGTGGTGAGTCTCCTGTCGCCAACCTGAATGTCAGATTTTGCCATGAAAATTTCCTTGGCATGCCACCAGAAGAAATGTCTGATTTACACTGACAGTAGGCAGCCTGAGTTAGAGGCTCAGTGCAGCTGTGGAGACTTCAGCAAAATGGCAACCACAGTGACCATGGTGGGCAGTGGGTAAATGGCAGTGGCAAAGATTGGCTGCACTTGTGGGCCCTGGAAGAGCTTAATGGTACAGTGACTTACCAGCCAGGATGGCATGTTTTCACACAACCATGTCAATGAGAGTGCCACTAAAATGCAGATACAGAGGGGTAAATTTGTGGATGGCTTCTCTCCTATAAATAGAACTATTCATATTACTGCTGTCAAGTGATTAAAAAAATTAATCATGATTAATCACACAATTAATTGCACTGTCAAATAATATAATACTATTGAAATATTTTTGGATGTTCTCTACATTTTTAAATACGTTGTTTTAAATTACAACACAGAATACAAAGTGTACAGTTCTAATTTTATATTTATTTTTATTACAAATACTTGCAGGTAAAAAAAAACAAAATAAATAGTATTTTTCAATTCCTCATTACAGGTGCTGTAGTGCAGGTTTTTTTATTATGAAAGCTGAACTTACAGAAGTAGAATTATGTAACCATCCCTTCCCTCAATCAAAAATAACATAAAATTTTAGAGCCTACAATTCACTCAGTCTTACTTCTTGTTCAGCTAATTGCTCAAATGAGTTTGTTTACATTTTCAGAAGATCAGTGTCGACCCATTTTGTTTACAATGTCATCTGAAAATAAGAACAGCTGATTTCATGGCACTGTTGTGGCTGGCATTGCAAGATATTTATGTGCCAGATGCACTAAAGATTCATATGTCCCTTCATGCTTTAGCCATCATCCCAGAGGAAATGCATCTGTACTGATGATGGGTACAGCTTGATAATGTTCAAAGCAGTGCATACTCATGCATGTGCATTTTCATCATCTGATGCAGATGCGACCAGCACATGTTAATTTTTGTTTATGGTAGTTAAGGTTCTGTAGTTTCTGCATCAGACTTTTGCTCCTTTAAGACATCTGAAAGAATGCTTAACTCCTCCCTCTTAGATTTTTGGAAGGCACTTAAGATTCTTGAACCTTGGTTTGAGTATTGTAGCTGTCTGTAGAAATTTCACATTGGTAACTAAGTTCTCTGTAAGCTGGGAGGTCACCTAGTTGACAGCGTACAGGTGCCTAAGGCACCCCCACAAGGCAGGGGGGAGGGATAGAGACTAAGGGAGGGATAGCCTGAACCAGGCATCCTTCCCTGGCCTCTAATGCAGTGGTCTCCAACCTTTTTAAGCATGAGATCACCTTTTGAATTTAAGTGCAATCCAAGATTTACCTCATACCCAAATACCCTTGCCCTGCCCCCTTTGTGTCCCTTTCTCTGAGGCCCCTTCCCTGCTCACTCCATCCTCCCTCACTTTCACTAGGCAGAGGCAGTGGGTTGGGGTGCAGGCTCTGGTCTTGGATTAATGGATTTGGAGTGAGAGAGGAGCTTTGAGCTGAGTTTGGGGCAAGTAGTTGGGGTACTGGAGGGGGTTCTAGGTGCAGGCTCTGGGAGGGTGTTTGGCTGCAGGGGTGCTCGGGGCTAGGGCAGAGGCCTGGGGTTCACGAGGGGGTTCATGACTAGGGTAGGGTTTCAGGATGTGGGCTCCGACTGGGCACTGCTTACCTTAGTTGGCTCCTGGGTGGTGGTGCAGTGGGGCTAAGTCAGGCTCACGCCTGCCCTGGCCATGCACCAATCCCAAAAGCAGCCAGCAAATGCCATCCCAAGTCCTGTTGTGCCCCCTCTGCTCTGTGGAGTTAGAATACAGAGTGGGAGAGGGGGCATCTTGACATCAGTGCACCTCCTTTGCCTCTCCTGCCCTTCACAGCAAGCAGGAGGCTCGGGGGGAGGGGAAAAGCAGCTCTAAGGCAAAGGGCAGGAGTTGTGCAGCTGTAGTGGGAGGGGCAGCTGAAGTGCAGGCACTTGATAGCCTCTTGGCCAAACCAGTCAGGATCACCTGTCAGAGGCTCCTAGATCTACCAGTAGATCCTGATCTACTGGTTGGTTA